GGCGATGCCGAAGCTGCGCGGGGAGGCCTTCTGGAGGGAGACTCTGCGGAGCGCCCACTACGTGGTGGCGCCCATGGTGGACCAGAGCGAGCTGGCCTGGAGGCTGCTGAGCCGCCGCCACGGCGCCCAGCTCTGCTACACGCCGATGCTGCACGCCCAGGTCTTCCTCAGGGACGCCAACTACCGCCGCGAGAACCTCTACTGCGAGGCCTGTCCCGAGGACCGGCCGCTCATCGTGCAGGTGAGCGCCGCGACCGGCCCGGCCAGCCCGGGCAGCCGGGACTCCGGGAGGGGCTCCCCGGGCTTCGCCTTGCCCTGCGCTCGTGGGCAGAGCCACGAAAACAAGTCCGCCTTCTCTGTTCACCTTCGGCGGCCTTATCCACCCCTTTGTGCTAAAAAATCCATTCGTCTTCCGAATGCGCGTGAGTTCAAGCTAGTCAGTCGGGACCCCGGGAGGGGCTCCCCGGGCTTCGCCTTGCCCTGCGCTCGTGGGCAGAGCCACGAAAACAAGTCCGCCTTCTCTGTTCACCTTCGGCGGCCTTATCCACCCCTTTGTGCTAAAAAATCCATTCGTCTTCCGAATGCGCGTGAGTTCAAGCTAGTCAGTCTCAGCCACGTTTAAAAGTAGTTATATCAGATAACAGAAATCCCATTTTCTTCACGTAAGTATACTTAACTTATGAAGATAAGTGTGTTTTTCTGTTTATCCCATGTCTAGCAAAGAGGATTTAGCATCTTAACCACAGGGGCCTGGAGCACTAGACTCTTCACAGGGTTTCCGTCCTCTACACCTCATCTTTAGGGATGGATTAGACCTCATCTTCTAGAGTGAAGGGTTGTTCAAGATCTGATACCACCCTGGGAGGCTTACAGTTTTTTGAGTTCTCTGAAAGGATGAGCTCCGTGTTTAGCTGTAGAAAAGGGTTGCAAGGAAGACAGGACACACTTTTAAGCTTGTCTTGCTTCTGCTTCTTGAGCGCTGTGTGAAGTTCAGGACCTTCCCTCCACTCCATCCCAAGGAGGGAGAGGAGCTTGCAGAACTGGAGAATCATTCAGGGAAAGACAGTCAGCATGAGCAGAGGAATGGGGTGATTGCCACGTGTGGAGCAATTAAATGTCACCTTGGAAGAGAAGTGTCTGCCTTGATTGAGGGGGGAGATGAAAGAAGTCTGTGAAAATTTGACTGGTTTGAGGATGATGAGTGGGAAATGAGTGTTAAGTAAGGACAGTGATAAACTGCAAAATTCATTACTGTGGGATATACTGGATGCTGAAAAATTACATGAGTATAGACAGCAGATGAAAGAAAACTCTACTGAGGGCCATTAGGTGCAGGAAACACTACTTCTGCTTTCAGAGCCCTTGAAGACATTTTCCAGTTTCTGCTGTTCCTTAGACATTGGTTGTCAGCCATTATTAGAGCAGGTATACCTTTGTGTGTCTTTTTTTCCACAAGAGGTAGCTTCTTTGTCACAGAAAAATACAGGTAGCAGAAATATAGCTAGTTTTAGAAAGCTGTAAGTCTTGTGAGCACAGATCTTCAGCTCAGTAAACTGTGTGTTCTGGGCAGGCCTACCTGAAGAGTGTCACTTACTGTGAGCTTGCTGTGCTATCCTTCCTCTCACTGGCTGCTCTTGAACATAAGGCACAGAACTAACCAATCTTTGGGTTGATGTAGTGCAGCAATCCTTGCAGAGCTCTGCAATATTTCTGGGCAGGCTTAGGGGTTTGGTCGCAGACTCTTGGGAACAGATCAGACAGAGACACATCTGAGCCCAGCCTGCTTGATGGGCTTTGTTTACTGTGCAAAAACTCCTCAATGATGTGGCTTATTTGGAGGCTTTCCATTCTTCCAGTCACCTCAGAGAAAGCAAATGTCTTTTCTGGCTTTAGTCAGTGTCAGCCATAGTGTGTTTAGTGCTGTAGGGTTTAAGTAGGTTTTAAATTTAAATCCATATTATTTAAAGACATGATGGCATTGTTTTTTGTTAATAATGAATTTTAGAAAATCTATTTAAAAGCATAAATTATAGGAGTTTTGTTATGTCCTCTTCAACAAAGCAGCTTCAAATTAACCTATTTTTGTAATAAATTAATTTGCACTGTGCTTTAAGTGTAATATTAATTATATTTAAGACTGAGCATTTGACTAACAACCCAATGTTTCTATTTCACACTGCACTAATGTGAATTCATTTTAGAGGCAATGGTGCTTTTTTAGTATACACAAAGCTTGAGTTGTCTCAAGACCCAGAGACACTGCAGGTAACTCTTTTCTTCTGCACCATCTATATGAATTAAAATGCTACAGCTGCTTGTTTTCCAGAGGATTTTAAGAGTAGTTCCCTCTAATTCTTGGATACAACTTGTAAAATATTCTACAAATATTTCTTTGCCTCTTGAATGCTCATTTTTGTCTTTTTGTCATTTGAAGGTTGAGGATCTTTAGCTGGTAAGTGTCACAGGGGTTTTTTGTTGTTGTGTCGGGGTTTTTTTTCTTGAGAAATGGTGTTTTCTGTTATTAACTCTTTCCTATGGCAAGTAGCGGCTTCTTGACTGTGTATTAACATATTGTTGGTACTTGAAGAAGGCTATTGCCTGATTATGCTGCTTTTCTTTATCTTTCTCAGTTCTGTGCCAATGACCCTGAAGTGTTTGTCCAAGCAGCCCTGTTGGCTCAGGATTACTGTGATGCCATAGACCTAAATTTGGGTTGTCCCCAAATGATTGCAAAGAGAGGTACGTGCAAATCAGAGCCTGGGATAAACAGAGAAATTGAGTATTTCAAATGTGACCGTTGGCAATAAAACATCAATATGACCAAACTGAGTGCTGGGGGGGAGTGGCTGCAGTACTGAGGTTAGACCTACTGTAAGAGGTAATGCTTCGTAGTACCTAAAGCAAAAATTAAATATATTAATAATTAATTCCAGCTTTTATTGAGTGACAGCTCTTGTGTCTAGAATATCCTTCAGAAAAAGTATTTTAACAAGAGCTTGATTTTCTTTCTGATTTTAGTTACTCTAACAGCCTAATTTGCAAAACTGCGTTTTAAATTATATAATGCAGGCGCTTGTATTGATACTTCAGAGAGTTTATTTACATTAGCATATAAGAGGATAATATCTTAAAGACATCACAAAGGTAGCTGTGTTGGAAAACTAGAACCAGCTGCATTAGGTAGGATGTTGAGGAAAGATTTGTTCAGTAACTGTTCCTCTTCTAAAATGGCTTTCAAAGACTGACAGGGAAATTATCAGTGGTGTACTGGGCAAATAGATCTTTAAATCCAATCAGGTTTTAACTGGAGGGAGTTTTTAAACACCCATTATAAATCCCTGAAAGTTGGACTTGGAGCCAGTGTCAATACACTATCCTTAGGGATTAGCAGTGAAAATAAAATAGTGTGTGGGGATTCATTCTGTATCTTGGATGGCATGGGGAACAGAATGATCCAACCCTTCCAGTTTGGGCAGGAGAGAGCAACTCTGTTTCTGTTAGTGAGGCACACGAGTGTCTGCGGCTTTTTACGTGAACATTTCCGAGGTCTGGATTCTTCTGAATCTTACTCTTCTGTACAAGTCTGTCATATGCTAATGTATTACAGGTCATTATGGAGCATTTCTGCAAGAGGAATGGGATCTTCTTCAGAGAATGAGTAAGTCTTTGGAGAGGCTTAACTTTAAAAGGGAATGGGATGAACTCATCATTGAGAGGAGGTTTAGGAATTTTGGGGGGCAGAAGGCGCCACATGTTTCTCTGTGGAAGGTTGTGTTTAGTTGGGTTTTTTTTCCTTTTCCTTCTTACTGTATTCCCAGTAGCACCCTCAAGATACTTGGTGGTATCCCACTACAAACTACCAGCTAGATCTGCTAAAAGACTTCAGCACCTGAAACAGACTTTAGGTGAAAGAGAGTAAATTAAATCCCAATCTAGTGATGGCTTAGTGATTTTCCAGCTCTAGAAATTGCAGCACTCCGTGTGTCTTTTTTACTTTGAAGTTCTTGGGTGCCAGGAGTAATTTCTGCTTGAATTTGATTTTTTTCTGATCAGCTTGGCATACTCTTTCTGTCCACATCATAGCAAGTTATGCCTCTTTTCTCCAAAGTCATGTAGGACATTTTCAAGAGTATTTGTAGCAGTTGTGAACAGTATAATATTTTTTTTTAAGAAATACATTTGAAACTGACTTAAAAAGCAAGGTTTTGGTCATTGTGTAGACCTGAGAATGTGCCTTCATTCCACTTCAAAGCAAGTGTCTGAACTCTGAAGTTAGAGAATCTTAATTCTGCTTGCATTCTCTGTGGTCCAAGACACTGCTGAGAACCTGAAAAGATAGTGCTTCCTGGCCCAGTATGTCATGTGGTTGTTAGGGCACTTTTCTTAGGAGTGAAGGATGCAAATCAGAACAGCCTCAAAGTAAGAAAGAGAACCCAGATCAACCAGTTGGGTGAGAACCCAGGCTGTCTAGTAAGAGAGTTGTCTTATGAGGCTGTTGTATAAAAGGTGAGCAAAGGTTCCTCTTCCCCTTCTCCCCCAGCCATCTTTAAAATTATGAAGTACTATTGTCTGCTTGTATGTGTATACACCTTTATTGCTCCTTTGAAAGGGTGATAGGAAGTACCTATGGTTAGAGCTTCTAGCATTTGGATTAGAAAAAAGCAGGGCACTTCCTACATGGTACATCCAAGCTTTGGAAGAGAAGAGAACTACAGGCATGCCATTGCTCGGTGGTTTCCCATCGACCATCTTTGTTAGCTCTTTTTCGTAGTTTTCCAACTCCGTGCAGTGCGTAAAGACTGGGAGCTCAGCATGTTCTGGACTTCACCCTGGCTCTGTAACCTACGTTTACCGCTAATTGGGTCCACAGCCTACCTCAGCTGGCAAGCCTCTGCTTGCCATAGACGAGACTATACTTGTCATGATTATTTGGGTGATAATTTGGAAAGAAGCAAAGCATCTCTTGTAGGAAAGGTGGACAAGCAAGTGTTAATGTTGGCAGAGCCAGGAGTACAACAGCCTGTGGCAACAGTAAACCTGTGTCAGTGATTGAGATTTGAGGGGAGTGGTCCTTGAAAGGGAAGTCTGATGCCATGGAAATGTTAGGACTATGAAATGTTTGCTACTTTATGCCTCTTGTTAGAATGCAGATTTCTGTGCTTCGTGTTTTACTCTTACCTGACTAACCTGTGCAGTAGGGCTCACAGAGGACATTGCTGGTTGTTTAAGCTGTGAGACCTGCATAGCAGTAACATTTCTGGCTTTTTCCATGTCAGTGTCAGTAACAGATCCTGAGAATAGGCACTTCCCATAGCATTGTGCCACCCGCTTACCTGTCTTTTCAATCTTCCCCAGTTTTACTGGCTAACGAGAAGCTCTCTGTTCCCATCACATGCAAAATCCGCGTTTTCCCAGAAATTGACAGGACAGTGAAGTATGCACAGATGCTGGAGAAAGCTGGCTGCCAGGTAAGGAGGCAGCTGCTCCCTGTACTGTTGCATTGGACACATGGCTTTATATAAAGCATCTGATGACCAGATCTTGGTGTTCTGTGGAGATGAATAGGCTATATTGTTTTACAAACAGAAAAAAAATGGGATGCAGAGAGATGGTGTGTGTTTGCAGTCATAGGCAGCAGGTCAGTGGTACAATATGGAAGACAAAATGACTTCAGAGTCTCTCTTGTAATCACTGCACAGTGCAGCATCCTTCACTTTGGTTGAAGCACAGTCACACCTAGTGCTGCAGGAGGCAGTATGAATGCCTGAAATCCACAGGACTACAGAAAAAAAAACAGTATCCACTAGTAAAGAAATGGGCAGCCTAGTAGGACTTATTTAATTCCAGTTAAATTGGAAGAGACAGTCTGTAGTTAGAGCCAGTACTGACAGCATTCAGGCCTTCTGCTGAGCAGCAACCAAATTAATAAATCTCAAATTGCAAAGTGAATCACAAATGGGAGCCAATACTCCATGGGAAATATGTAGCTTCTCCCCAGATACGATCTTGCCATGCTGTGGAGTAGCAAGCTGAAAGAAGCCCAAGGCCATACTGTGGTAGGTGAGCTGCTGATCTCTTTCTGTGACACCAAAGTCCACGCACTGCTGAAATAACAGTGGGAATTGATTGGCATCTGTGACGTGTACATGGAGTTTTGTCAGGGGATCTGTTCTTGTACTTCACACACATGAAAAGTCAATGTAACTGTTCTAGCTACTGACTGTGCATGGCCGTACGAAAGAACAGAAAGGACCGCTTGCTGGAGTGGCATCTTGGGAGCACATTCAAGCTGTCAGGTTAGTAAGCATTACCAGTCTTTGTAGATTTTTGCCAACATGCTGTGAAGTTAGATGTTTAAGCAGAGCATGCAGTGGCATTGAAGAGCAAACAAATCTGTTTGACTGGAGTAGAATTTAGAGTTGACTCTAACTATTAATTTTATACATCTGTCTTATTCACTGGTCTAGAAAAGCTGTAAGCATTCCTGTATTTGCAAATGGAAACATCCAGTGTCTCAGTGACGTGGAAGAATGTATCCGTAAGACAGGAGTGCATGGTGTCATGAGTGCAGGTAAAGAAAAATAATTTTACTCATAATAGATGAGAATACGAAGTGTTTTTTTCTCTCTTAGCCAGCCCCATTTATATTTATTAAAAGCTTACATCAGACTGACTTGGTGAACAGCTTTGACTGAAAGCTGAGTGACTGCTCTCCCTCTTTTTATACTAGCCATCTCTTACCAGTGCCAAGAACCACTTAACATTTGTAAGAATTGTTATGTTGGACTCATAGTAGCATTGACTGGACAGCTCAGTCTAATTATTTGACAAAGGCATACTGGACTCTTATTGTCCTGGAATATTTTCATTACATCTGTTAATCAATAGAATGGTTTCTGAATGGATCCTGACGCAGTGAGTGCATTTGCTGATTAGAATTCCTGTAAATGGTTCGTGGTGGGTTGGGATAAAAAAGAATTAGCTTACGTTCCTACAGAAAGAGCTAGGATACAACATAAAAAAAAAACCCAGCTTCCAATCACTCACAGTTAAATCAATGAAACATTTTCTGGGAGTTTGTAGAATCTTATTTTTAGAAAACACTAGTTAACAAAAGACTTGTGAAGCTAGTAGAGCAAAGCATAGTGAGAAGCAGTATCTCTCAAGCCAAACAACTGTGAATACAGATGTAAGATCAGACACTCCTTGTCCAAGTATTTAACCATTGGGCAAGAAAAGCAGTCATTTCTTTATTAAGTTTTTTTACTGTCTTTGTGTCAAGATTGCATGCCTTTCTGGAAAATGTATTTTAATTTAATAAGAGCATTTGACAGAACTAAGAATTGTATACTGAAATACAGTATGCTGAGGTCAGGCTGGAGTTTTGTGGACCCTGTATTCTTCTTTGTGAGGACATGGGTGATGTGTCCTTGACTGGCTGGTAGAAGCACAAGAGAACTGATCAAGCTCCAGAGCCTGGATTTTGTTTTCTGTTTCAATCCTGAAATTAAATTTTGAGTTTGTTTGTTTTTTCATTCCCTAGAAGGAAATCTTCATAACCCAGCTTTGTTTGAGGGTCGAAACCCATTGGTGTGGGAGATGGCTGAGGAGTATCTGGAGATAGTGCAGAAGCACCCTTGTCCATTGTCTTATGTTAGGGCTCATCTCTTCAAGCTCTGGCATCACACGTGAGTATCTCCAGAGAACTCTTCATGTTTTCAGGACTCATCCTGCTTAGCAAGTGTCTGGGTTTTCTGGACAAGGATTTGTTTGGCCAGAATTAGTAGGCTGCAAGGTTTTTTTTCCTGAACCTGACTGGAGAGAGTGTAGGCTGAGGCCTTTAACCTTCATTGTATATCTGGGAAACAGGGCATGGGGAATTAACAGGTTGCCACAAGATAAGCTGGGGCATGAGCCCACAGCACATCAGCTGCCATGTGGTAATTGCCCATCTGCACACACATTATATGGCAACTGTGAGCTCATGATGAGCCAAGCTGCCTTGCTTGTACTGTGAAGTAAGAGTGTGGCTGTGGGCAGCTACTGAGGAGCAGCTGATTAACTGTACCTTCGTGTTAGCTTATCTCAAAGTACCCTGGCTGTGTGCCAAGTATTTATTTGGAAAAGAGGAGCAGGTACATGTGCTTTTCTCTGGATTTACAAGAAAAAAGTTAGGCTTCTACCAAAAACAAGTGCAGCAAGAAAAATATATTAAAAGAGCTCTTATTAAGACATTTTTACTTGATTTCCTCAATCTAGCAATAATGAATAAATATGGTGTTTGGGATTTGCCACAGGCTTCAAGTTTACCAGCAGCTGCGTGAAGAATTAGCAAAGGTGAAGACTCTAGAGGGCATTGTAGATGTCAACAGGGAGCTGAAACTACGATGCCAGGTACCAAGATGGGCCCTAATCTCACAGAACAGCACTTGGTGGGAATTTACCATGTATGTCATGTAGTTGATGTCTTTTGGTCACTTCACTGGGACAAGGGGTAATGGGTGCAAATTGGAGCATAGGAAGTTCAAGGTGAATATCCAAAAAAAATTTTTTACTGTAAGAGTGACAGAGCCCTGGGACAGGCTGCCCAGAGAGGTTGTGGAGTCTCCTTCACTGGAGACATTCAAAACTCCCCTGGATGTGTTCCTGTGTGATGTACTCTAGGTGACCCTGCTCTGGCAGGGGGGTTGGACTAGATGATCTTTCGAGGTCCCTTCATTTGGAAAAGAGGAGCAGGTACATGTGCTTTTCTCTGGATTTACAAGAAAAAAGTTAGGCTTCTACCAAAAACAAGTGCAGCAAGAAAAATATATTAAAAGAGCTCTTATTAAGACATTTTTACTTGATTTCCTCAATCTAGCAATAATGAATAAATATGGTGTTTGGGATTTGCCACAGGCTTCAAGTTTACCAGCAGCTGCGTGAAGAATTAGCAAAGGTGAAGACTCTAGAGGGCATTGTAGATGTCAACAGGGAGCTGAAACTACGATGCCAGGTACCAAGATGGGCCCTAATCTCACAGAACAGCACTTGGTGGGAATTTACCATGTATGTCATGTAGTTGATGTCTTTTGGTCACTTCACTGGGACAAGGGGTAATGGGTGCAAATTGGAGCATAGGAAGTTCAAGGTGAATATCCAAAAAAAATTTTTTACTGTAAGAGTGACAGAGCCCTGGGACAGGCTGCCCAGAGAGGTTGTGGAGTCTCCTTCACTGGAGACATTCAAAACTCCCCTGGATGTGTTCCTGTGTGATGTACTCTAGGTGACCCTGCTCTGGCAGGGGGGTTGGACTAGATGATCTTTCGAGGTCCCTTCCAACCCCTAGGATTCTATGAGTCTATGATTCGTGGCTTACCAACCATGATACTGGTAGTTTACTGCAGTAGCAGCCCCTTAAGCCTGAACACCTTCACGTGGGATAAAGTTGATTTAGGAGTTACAAATCTGCTGCAATTCATCTGTTAGTTTAACAGTAACTGTTAGTTTAGATTCCAATTTCTGGTTTCTGGAGTTTGATATATTAATTAGAGTATTTCTTGAGAAGTCCAGGAAAACTGACTGTACCTCTGTGCTGCAGGAAGAAATAGCTAATCAGAAAGAAGGAGAAAAGCCAAAAGAAGGGTTGCCTTTTTTCCACTGGATCTGTCAGCCCTACATCAGGCCAGGGTGAGTTATTTATGCTGACCTGGACAGGCCTCTCCTTCCCATACTATCAGTACAGAGCCATCCAGTTCTGTTCTAGGAGTGAAGACTTTGGAGTATTTTTATTCTGGTTTGGCTTTTCCCCAGTTATTGCTTTGTTCATGGGGATGCTCCTCATAGTCTGCATCTCCTTTAGATCCTCCTCAGATTTCTCCCTCTGGAAAGTAAAACCTGAGAATTCCACTGCAGCTCAGAAAGCAAAGCTGGTGTGAACAGACTGCCTGACATTACTTTATTGATCTATGTAACAAGGAAATTGCTGGTAACTGCCAGGGTAGCAAAGATGGCAACTAAATTGTATTCTATGAAGGATGCTCAAGCTATATGGGCAAGCTTTTCAGAGACCTTATTCCCTTTCTGTTGTGAAATTTGGGCTGAAGAACACGAGTGTTTCAAGATTAATACTTAAGTATTTACTTAACATGGGAATAAGAAGTTAAGAGGGGCCTAATTTAACTGGCCAACTTTTATTGACTTTTCAGTTGATATATCTGACAGTGTATCTGTCAGCCAATGTTAACAAAAAGTTACGTTGTTCTGTTCCACTTCTAAGGGCAATGACATTTCCTTGTAATTTAGCCATGATAGAAAGGTTTAGTTTGCCTAGGTATTTCTGTAAACCAGAGTAGTGGCCAGGAAGCACCTACTTCTTCCCTTCAGCCAACTGACAATGATATTGTTTCAGGCCAAAGGAGAGATGCAAGGAGAATGGAGCCACTGGGAATGAGAAAGGTGTGCGAGGGAAACGTGCTCTGGAAGAGGAGGAAGATGGAAATTCTGAGCTTCTGTCAAAGAATAAGCAAAAAAAGAAGTTAAGAAATCCAAATAAAAGCTTTGATCCATCTTTAAAACGTAAGTTCCGTTTATTGGCATAATTGGTTGCTGTTAATACATTTGACATAAATTGTCACTATTTATTTTCCTTGTTTTGTAGTTACAGAAACTTCTTTAAAAAGAGGGGAATATTGGGAAATTTTTGTAGTAAGCAATGTGATTCAAATTATGTTCTTTAAATAATTCAGATTATTTACTAATGTAAAGAAAACAAGGATCAGATAAGTATGTCACTGATCCACTATAAGCATCTTTTTAAGAGGAAAATGCTTTACAGACTAAATGGTAGCTGTCACTAGTATTCGGAGTTTTGTATGCATTTCAGGCAGATGTCCTCTTTTACACTTGACCTGAGGATTGAAATTTTGTATTTGGCTTAGAGGCACTTAAAAGTCCAAGTATCTTTACCTTTGCACTCTTTGTTACGTTTTTATTTAAGAGAATCTCTCTGTGGCTAGCAAAAGCTCCAAGCTTTGATCCTGATTTTTAATTTTTTTTTAAAAAACTTCTTCCACATAAAAATGCCATTGCTGAAGTCAAGTCTCTCTCTTTCTAGCCAAATATGCAAAATGTGATCAATGTGGAAACCCTAAGGTAAGTCAGTGCCAGTGTTCATTACAGCATGTCCATTAAATGGAATTTAGTTGACTGTCCACGGCTCCATGAATGAAGATCAGTGATGAGCTGAGTCTCTTGGGGGTCCGTGCTGTGCAATAATTACGTGTTCTAGCTGGAAAAGCAGCATTACAGCTGTGGGGGGTGAGGAGACAGGGATACAGGCATGTTGTGATGCTTTCCTTTATAACACTCTTGTGGCACCTTAGAAATAGCAGCTAACTGGGGCTCAATCTGTAGCTGCAACTACAGAAGAAAATGTTTTTCTTGCTGTGTTCATTATTGGGAAACCATTGAGCATTCACCTGGCCTCTTTCCAAAGCCATCCTCTTCCTTAGCTAATCTGGGTGATACAGCTTGGTACATAGCCATGGTTGGCTGAAGTTGTGCTTAGTCTCATTTTGGTTTTGCTCTTACGTCACTCTAATATTTCAGGCAGCCCTTGACATCTTGTGACTGGACTGTCCTGAGGTTTTGGGGTTTTTTTGTTGTTGTTGTTGTTGTTGGGTTTTTCCTAGATCATGTTTCTAAGATACCACATGGAATTGGGGGATAACAAAACAAAATTTCAACCATGGGCTTTCTAAACACAAAGGGATTTTTAATTGGGGTGGAGGGAGACACACCAAACAAGAAAATCCCTAGGAACACTAAGCACACATGAGCCAGAGCACCCAAGAACACCCACCAACTGTCCCAGACTCAACTGTTGCCCCTTATTGGTCATATGATACATTTTAATATTTATGTATATTTTAAGCTGCAAATAGGGAAACGATTGCTGTAACATTGATTTTAGGCATAGCTACAGATGGCAGCAGGCTTGTTGGGCAGTGTTTCACATGCTGGTTTTGTAGAGCATTACAGTGAGCTTGCCTGCAACACAAGCCATTGTGCTTACTCCAAAGGGCTTACGGCACTTGCCTGCTTGTGGTGTTTAACAGGTTGCCCAAGAGGTTACTTATGTTGCAGAAGTTGAATGTGGACTTTGTTTGTTTTGGGTTGTTTTGTTCTCCATGTACAAACAGTTGAGATTTGTGCCCCCCCAGATGTCATAAACTCTGTCATCTCCATTAGCCTGAGGTGTGACTGTGTTCATTTTGTTTTGTTCCCAATGGTCTGAGTGTGCAGAGCTGTATTGCTGTTGCTTACTACAGTAAGCAATAATTTTCTTTTCTCTGATGCAAGTTTCTTTACACCTCCATCCCAATCTAGGGCAATAAATGTGTTTTTAACATGTGCCGAGGGTGCTGTAAGAAAAGAGCATTCAAAGAGACAGCAGACTGTCCAGGTGAGTGCAGCTGCCCTTTCAAGCCATTCAGCAAATGTCTCATCTCCCATGTATAGTCTGTACTTCAATCTTTGCTTTATGGGATTGGGGGGAGGGGATGACTGTGTGTGTTAACGCAAGCTAAAGATTTTATAGTACAATATTAAAAACCTGCTCTTCCTTCTATGTACAGTATTTCTTCTGCTTCCAAAGCCTTCAGGGGCTCAGTCTTCACACTATGAGGATGTGCCCTTTGTAACTGTAAGGAATGAGCTATTCTGATTGCCCTTGCACTTGTGTCATTTTTGGGGTTGGTTTGTTTGTTTACTTGTTGTTTGGGGTTTTTTTGGTGGTGTTTATTTCCCCACCCCCCCATCCTTTGCTTTTTCAGGTCATCGATTACTTTTTAAGACCAAATATGAAAAATCCCTTCCATGGCAGAGTAGTCAAAGAGTAATTCAAACCCCAGCAATCTGTCAGAGAGGAGATGTAGCTATGGACACTGCGGCACTGACAGAGGCTGGTGACAGTGCAGTGTGAAGCCTTGGAAATTAACGGTTGAAGAGCTCCTGCCAGGCCTCTGCTTCCCTGGGCCAAAGAACACGCCACCTCCAGCTCACTGTCAGCTGTGTGACCTTGTTCCACAGGTTTATTTTAATTCTTGAAAAAGTTTTATTTAAGTAAAAAGCTGCTTACTCAGGGAATTATCCTGCATTTGAAATAAAAAGGATGCAATTAAATTTCTCATGCTGTGTTTTAAAAACTGAAAATGCTGCATTTGAGGGGGCTGGGAGGGGGTAACCTACATAAGCTGCTGACACAGTCTGCCTCTTGTATGTTCATTAACTCTTTATGTCCTGTTTTTAATACTGGGGAATAAATGTATTAGAACAGGTTTCTGGCATGCTAAATACAGCATGTTAATGACTTTTTCACTAATAGAAACCAACAGGTTCTCATTCAAAGTATTAATAACAAGCAGGCCCCCAAACAATGTGAACAACTCACTAAGCAGAAGCCTTGGCCTACCCTTGTATCAATCACCCTAGTGCTCACTTTCATCTATTCTGTGTTCAGATTTTCCATGCTCTTTCTTCAGGCACCATCCTCATCAGATGATCATGTGCATCTTAATCTCTCTGCACATTTGTCTCTATCTGGCTTGCTTTTATCTTGCTGTTCCTGTTTATTCACAGTAAGTCCCCTAGAGGGACAACAAGAAGCAAGAACTTCATATCCATTTGGAGGCCAGACTTTAAATGCTGCCTAACAGTTGTGGCTCACTACAGTATATGACAATAGAAGTAGTTCAAACTCTCCTATTGAGGCTTCCCATGTAATTTGCTTGCTGCTTGACCAAAATATTCTACATAATGTTCTGGGAATAGCATCTTTCAATCTTAATCAGCTTGTTAACCAAGACTTTCAGCAGCTTTCATAAATTCTGACTACCCTTGTATTCAAATCCAGTTAAGACACTAAACTGGTAGATGTTACTCCAGCTTGCTTGCTTTGTGAATTGGAGCTGGCACAGAGCCAAGAGGAAGGGTGTGGCATTTACCAAGTAGGCCTGTGATTAGTGTGGGAGAACCAAGTTTAAAAATGCTTCTCTGTCTTATTTAAAGATGGGACCTTGAAACCACATCTTCCCTTCTGTGGAAAGAGCCCACTTCTTCCCTGGCACAGGCAGACACTTCAAAGCTGTCAAGTATACTGAATTCCCTGGTCTGTTTTATAAGCCCCTCTTCTAATAAAAAGCTGCATGTTCATTACCATGGATTTTCAAACTGCTTACCTGACCCTTCTTTCCAGTTTCCCAAAAACATCAGAAAGCTCAGTTATTCTGCTCACTCTGCCAGAGAAATTTAGTCAGAAAAGGTGTTTTCATGAAAATCAGCACTGGACTGGTGCTATGCAAGAGCTCTGGGCAACATCTTTATCCACACATTTTAGAACGTATCTCTCACACTTGCAGTCTCATCACAGAATCACTTACCAGTGTGAAGAAAGGATCAAGCTGGCTTTAGGCTCCTAAATTTGGAAAGGGCTTTTATACATGAGAATCCTAAATGGACACATTTTTTAATACAGAATTAGTATTTAAGGCACGTTTGTCCCCACTCTATGGTCCAAGAGGCAGAGCAGACAGATGCTTGCTCAGCTCCATGGCACAGCAGAAACCAGCAACATCCTGACATCACCACACTAGTGGGAAAAAAAAAGAAGCTGCAACCTGAACTTTAGTTCAGACAATCAAGAAGATTATAACCTTGCCACTAAGCAGGTAATGACAACCAGTGTATCAATTCCTTTATGAACAATGCTTGTGAATTAGGAGGTGCTATTGCAACATGAGTAAAGCCATTTGCTATTCATGCTGGGCACACCTGCACCGACACTCATCAGGGATTACTTTCAGGCTAGGCAATATACTAATTATCCTACTTATCTCCAATAAAAAATTGCAGCCTGCCAACTCTGCAAGGTGACGTCCTATTTTGTTTCTGTTTCACAGACCCTCAAGAAGAGAGACTTCTAATGGGCGGGGAAGGCAGTGCTGTGTATGTAGAATGATGGTGAAAATGATCCTGTCTTTGGTCTTTAGGGAGACTGGATTCTTGTATCTAAATCCATTTTCAGAGGCACAAAAGAAAAAAAATAGCAGCTCAACTGCCAAAAATGAGGCCAACTGCCTTCACTTGGCAAACAGTTTATGAGACACAACAGAATTTAAAAAAAAAAAAAAAAAAGGACAAAAAGTACACCAAAACAAAGATTGAAAACCCTGAATCTCAGCATGTGTTTACAGGGTACAAACTTTATGTGTACAGGGACGTCAAAGTTGGGTAAACCACAGGCACAGGGAGTGTAACAGCCAGAGCTGTTGCTGCAGGAGTAGAGAATTGCAGCAGTGATGCCTGTGTGGTCAAGGACAACAAGATTACCCAGTTTGATGTACCATGTGAGAGATGCCACTTGAATTCTTGTTTGAATTAGACCATCTCTTGCTAATACTGCCACCCTTCAGACTGTAGCTTTAGTAAGTCTCCTGAAGCCTGACCTTTATTTCTTCACTGTCAAGAAACTTTTACTTGTGTTGTTACTTACCAAACTTCTAACTAGTTTATCTCATCCATTTCTCTTAAGAGTTATCCTATGAGATAATCTACAGCTAGGGTGTTATACCAGACCCTATGAAACATTGAATGGAATTCACAGATCCAGAGGAAAACGGAAGTCAAAATATTATCAGTTGAAGTACAAAACTCATTTGCAAAGCCAAGTAATTCATCCCTTATTCCTCAACAGCATCAGAAAAGCAGAATTCAGCTCCATATTAGTATGGTGTTTTTGACCCTACTGCAAATTAATTTCATATGAACTACTGAAAGCATGGAATGCTGACTTGTACTAGTCACAAGGCACAAGAAAATATGAAGAGCACTGTCCTGTGGAGCACAGTGCTCCCCCCATTGCCATTTGCTTCATATAAAAAGTAACAAAGGAGATGGCATGAGAACCCCTAATAGCCAAATTAAATGGGCTGAGACTTTCCTCCTAAAAAAGTAAATTAAAAAGAAATCAATACCTTGCCAGTGCTTGATGCATGATGAGTCCTTATCAGAAGCACTGTTGCTATTAATAAAGTTTCCTGATTTGCTTTTCTGAAAGTTATATTACATTGCATGTATAAGAAAAAATGCATTATTCAGGAGCATCTTCAGAAGCCACCCAGAGGATAGATCAAGGCTGAGATTTCAACTGAGTTTGGAAGTAACCCTGAGCCTGTTATGGCAGAGTCCCAGAAACCAGGGTACAGATCAGACGTCCATGGCCTGAGGCAAGGACAGAACTCTGTTACTGTCTCCCTCATCCACTGAAGTCTCTCAAGCAGCAGCTCACAGATGCTGCTGCACCAGCCACAATCCGAGTGCCAACAGAATCTCCCTCTCGCAGACCTTCCACTACAAAGCTGAGCAACACAGACCACTCTGCTACACAAGGTCTGCCCAGGTAATTACCAATCACCCCCAACTACTTGACCACAAATCTCATAATGACAGTTTCTACAGTTGTGCTGATGAAAACTGCCTTTGCCAAAAGGACCAGGTTCTTCCCTTTTTTTTTTCCCCTTTATCCCTAGCTATGTCAGGTAAAGGAAGCACGATTTACACTGCACGAGGACACCACCAGTTACAGCCTGCCACTGACCACTTTTTCCTCAACAAAAAGCTGCTCCACAAGTTCACAAAATCCACTTAAATATCTTAGACATATCAACATGCTACAGATCCCACAAAACTTCATCCCCTGAATTACCTTGGTGGTCACAGGGAATCACAGGAAATTTATTCTTCATGAGCCACTGTTTTTCCCACTTATTACTTGGGAAATTACTTGGAACTTTAACATAAGAACAATCTTTCATTTGAGAAAACTGCTTATCAACAGAAGTTACACAGACCTATATCCGTGCTGTGTTGTGTCTCCTGATTTTCGGGATGGCAGGTAGTTAGGACTGAAGCAGGTGTTGAACAATGCCTAGAAGAAACATGCCTGGACAGCCCTGACTCACATCTATGAATCTTAAAGCAACAGCAGCTTCTTTCACAGGCTAAAGGAAATACTTACCTGCCAATAATTCTATTCAAAAGCATACACTGTGCCTGAACAGTGCCAATTAACTAAGCACAAAAGAGAAATGCTCTGTCCAAAAGAGGTCGTTAAGTATTTTTGCCTGAAGAAACTGATCACCTCAGCCCAGCTATGGAACTGTCTCAGACCACGGAAGGAGCTGGAAGCTGCTGTTGCCACGCGGTGGGCTCCATTCCGACTGCTATAGGAAATCAGCTTCCAGCCTCTTGGCATGACCGGAGAAGCGCAAGTGTCTGGGAGAGCAGAGACTCCCATGGCAGTGGGAGATGTCCGTTTCCAACTGAGGATTCCTCCAGAAGGAAGCCTCCAGGAATGAACAGAGTAATCTGAATAATCAAGATTCCATCAGAATAAAATAATCAGATTATATCAATAATAATCAGAAATAATCAAGAATCACTCAGAATAAAATCCAGAGGCTGCTGTGCATAGTCAGAGAGAGACAGTGACATGATGCCCATAACTGGGCTGCAAAACTGTATTTTCAAGGTTGGAGCTTAAGACCTTTTCCTTAGAGGTGGTATCAGTGGCCAATTTTTGGAAGCAAGAACATTTAATAGTAGAATACAACTGAATAGCTTTCCTTCAGCATGAGCAGAAAATATCAGAACTACTTTCCCAGCATTCTCACAAGGATGTACAGCAATCTTCCTGAGGACTCAACTTGCCTTTCTCACCAAACTGGCTATGGCTGATTGCCTGGCTCTCTTCTTTCTCCCCTCAAAAATGGAATAATTCTTCCCTGCCAAACGGAAGACATTTAACCAAAGACCTCACAGAAACTATTGCTTCCATTTTCAGCACCCAAGTCATAAACAGCACAGAGAGGCAGAGGGAGGGAGCACTGCAATTCAGCAGCTGGGCCAATGAACCCAGAACTTGGCTGTTAGCACATTCCCTCAAACTGCACTTCAGAGCTTATCCAAGCTAAGTCTCCAACCAGACAAGAAAGCAAAACACAACAGCCTACAAAATGTCATCAAGCTTAGCAACAAATCAATGACTTGAGATCAAAATACCTAAAACCCAACTTTAACACAAAACTCCAACTACTCAAGAAGCTTTTAAATCCTGCTTTTTAATGCACTAGATAAAACATAAAAAACAAAACAAACAAAAAACACAAAACAAAAAACCAAACCAACCAACAACAACAAGAAAAAAGCATTAACACATTAACAGTAACATCTGTAGTCAGTTGCCAGACCAGTCAGGGCTGGATCCAAATTCCCAGCTTGCCTTATGGATTAGATGAATGCAAGGCTGCAGTGACTTCAGAAAATTCAGTGCATATATCCCTTCATTGACACAAGAGCACACACCTCAGCTGCCACCTCTAATCACTTTATAAAAGGAAAAGCAGAATAAATGCAGCTGGAGAGCGAGCACCTAGAACGGCTGCTTCAGCTCTTCCACAAAACTCGAGTGGTGTTCCATGGCACTTATCCATGCTACCAGGAGCAACTGCTGCACATGTTGGGAAATCATCACATGCTATGGCAGTAAAGCTGGACAAGCAGCAATATTTGCATGAAGTAGATTTACTGCTAGGATAACACTGGACCCCAAAGCCAAGTCATGCACAGGTGGGAAACACACCAGGAAACAGGTCTTTGAAAACAGAGACCAGAGAGAAAAACCCTAGATCCAGGTAAACATCAATACCCTAAAATAAAGGCCTGTGACTGAATGCATGGAAGTGGTGCCAAGTTTTCTGGTGAAGGTGAAAAATCACTAAAAGTTTCTCAAAGAAAATCTCCTCTCCCATCGGAACTCTAGCTCCATAATTGAGAGCAATGCAATTGTGAGTGTATCTGGAATAAACAGAAAGCTCAGCATTGCTCCAGAATCAAGACAGTACTTTCAGGCCAGTGAAATTCATCTTAGATCATGCCTGTTCATTCAACTTAACAGTAACTATTTTTGCAGCTTTGAAACAAGACTAATAACAGTTGAAAAATTCTCAAATCAGCATCTGTATGAACAACCTGACATCTCTTAATGGAGTGGTGGAAGAGGGAGAAAGAAGGAAGTTGTTCTACCAAATGGAAATTATGACCCATTGCAGGGATGCTGTTTTTAAAATAATTTTTTTCCAAGGATAATTTAAGTTACTGGAATATTCATCTTTTCCATCATCAGCCCCTGCCCTCTCATCTTAGCAAAAAGTGAGGGAGACAGGGATAGTTTCTGAAGCTCAGCAGTTAGTGGGTGAGACACTGGGTATGGTCATAGAGGGATCATTTATTTTGGTAGTGCTCGAAGATTTTCACATGTTGGTGCTCATCCTGGACTGGCTGTTAGCTGGAGTAAGCTCCCCTTGGCTACCTTCTCTTGGAGGAGACTGCAACAAGACCAAAACACATCCTAGTTAGTGCTGTGCAGACATCCCACAGAGTGCTTCCTGAGAGACCAAATGAAGCAGAGGTGAAGCACAGCAGGATGACAGCAGAGGGAGGGCATCCCCTCAACTCATAACTAACTATGGTTTTGCAAAAGCCTTGTGTTCACACCTCCTACAGATACAGTTCAGAAGAACTGTTCCTAATAAAGTCAAACCTTAACTTTTAGGCCACTCTTACTTACTATACACAAGGTGCCATTGGCCCCAGAAGTTGAATCCTATCTGGCATTTAGTTATCACAGAGATTAATATACCACAGAATTTAACACATTCTGTGGCAGATGGCACATCCTCCCTACAGCTGTTATTTTGGGACTGCATCCTGGAAAAACACGCCAAGCAATTAATGCATTTTTTACTTGGTCTACTAAAAAAAATTACTTCAAACAAACTTTGTTTTGATAAGATAAAAAATATGTGTATCAAGAATGAGTTGAAATTAATTAGTTATAATCAACCCAAACATGTAAACTACACAGGACACTCTGCATTGTAGAAGCAAGTCAATGTACTGCTAGAAATGCTTGTTCCTAACACATTTAGTATTTACCATTGTAAGAATTTGTCCAATCATGAACACAATAAATCCTTTCCCCTCCAGAATCTTCAATTCACTGATTTTTATAGTTTGTTAAAAACCCAACACCTCAGCAGTGCCTCCAGGTCCCACTGAGCACGTCCCTACCTTGACGTGTATCTGGTTGCGCAGGACAGCGGCGCGCAGGATCATGGCCTTGGCGCGGCGCTGGAATTCCTTGCCCATCAGCAAAGACTTCTCAAAAGTTGTGCTGCGCTGATCTACGTCTCGAGCATAAAGAATCTGCAACCAACAGAGACCTCTGCACAGGAGCTCTGACAGGCTTCCACAGCAGGAAGCCCTTTCTGCACAGGGGAACAAAGCTAAGGTATCATGGAGCCTGAGTTTCCACACAGCTCAAACACCAGATGAGTGCAACTCCCAGTGTCCCAGGAACGGAGAGCTGCTAATATCAGTACAGCTGTTGGGTTTGTTACCTGTGGCTCAGCTGCACTCACCTTACTGTGCGAGTCTATTCTGGCATTGATCAGTCCCTCCAGGATCAGCTGAGTCAGCTCATCCTCCAGAGCAGCCACTGTGGTGTTAAAAGCCATGGCCATCTTGTGCATGTCTGCTGACACATAGGGGCTGAAGTACTAGGAGGAAGAAAATACTCAGTTGCCAAGTGTGCTCTCCACCTTCTGAAAAAACGTGTGAAAGGCAACTACAAAGACATGGCCCATCTCACCATTCATCCAACTCCCAGGATCACAGAACAATTACCTGGATAAGGGCACGATTTCGAATCTGGGTATAAAGTGTCCTGACATGAGGTGCAAGGTACATATCCAGCAGCAGGTTGTCCTGTGCAAAGAAACCACATCAGAAGATGAGGAGCGGTCTGGAAATATGATTCCTGTACTCTGAAACATGTGTTCATACTTAAACCTTAAGGAACTTACGCTACAGCAAGAAGACACCGTGAAACAATAATTAAAGAACTAGCAATATATTTTAAAAATGCATAATTTATCCTCACTCTCTACTGCTAAACTACTCCCAATTTCCATTCACTACATCAGGATACAGAAGACACTGAAGAGCTGAACACTCTTAGTAGCTACTTTTAAGTCACTGTTTCTCACAAAAGAGAAGGCAAAGGAAACTTTTAGGGTCAGTTCTGCACTGCTCCCCTGCAACTCACCTTCATCTCATCTAGCATCTTCAGGCATGAAGCATATTTGGATTCATAAAACTTGAAGATTATGTCACGAACCTGTGGCTCCAGCTCCAGAAACAATTTGAAGGAACTGTATATAAAGATTGCAGTGATCAGATGTTGGAACCCACCACTTGAATACCCCACAACCTGCAGGTTGCGAGGTTAACAACTCTCACTATCATTTGAAGATTCCAAGAATTTACTCTCTAACAGACCAGACAGCCCATTGTCAGCAGGGCTGGGAGCCTGGAACACAGAGAGGTGCAGCACAGCATCAGAGCTGTGGTGAAGGAAAGCAAGAGACTTTTGACAAACTGCTTGTCAACACAAAACAAAAAAATTACTAGGAATAGCTCAAAATAAGCACACATCACCAGAAAAAAACAGGCCACTGTGTACATGTGCTGCAGTCTGTGCTGGCCAGGTCTGTGTTTGCTTCCCAAGCACAGCCTTCATTCATACAGCATGCTGTAGGGAGGTTAAGCTTTCAACTGTCTCAGGAAAAAAACCTATCATGACTGTGGGAGATCTCTGGGATGCACACTTTGTCACTGCTCTCCCAATTCTCCATCACAGATTTCCAAACCTTGGGATCTCACCCTATGAATCAACCAATAAAAGAGTCAGGGTAACAACACTGCTTTTTCCACATCAATTCAAAATGAGTGCTTCCAAACCCTCAGCTGACAGGAATTCAGTATCACTGGATTTCAATCTATGACACACAAATACTCATTTTCTTCCAAAGATTGTAATTCTCTTAACCTTGCCTATGTCATAGCTAGATTATGCTGCAAGTTGTATTAACAATTATTAAGTTGTATTAATAGGATTAACATACACCAGAAGCAGTGGCAACATGAAGACAAATGATCTTACAGTGGCCTTTTGTAGGGCTCTCCCCTCTGATTTAACACCTAATAGGGACTGCTGATGGAGACAGAAAGTTAGACTATGGACATGCTGGATTTGACCTGGTTGGAAACTCCTGTTTTACCATGAAAATCTCTGTGTTCTAGACAGTGAAACATCACTTAAAGCCAAACCGAGACTCAGCGATTCTTCCTCTCCTGTATGAGAAAGCTGTCACTCCTGCCAGGATCCACTCTCAACCGAAGTCCCATGTCCCCAAAGATACCTTGTACACACCAACTCCTCTCCAAGCATCGCTCACCTGCTGGAGATAACGTTCCGCTGCAGTTCCTGACGGTCAAAGGTAGCGAGAGCACAGAGACCACCATAGACAGCCACATTGCTGGGGGACAGCAGCTGCAGAGAGAGAGCTGTCACTGGCTGCTGGAAGGTGGAAGGCTGGAGCTAAGCATTCCACCACAGGCCCTTCCTTCACACAGTGACAAGATCTGTCCTTGTCAAATGCAGCGGAACCACTCAGCACGCTCTGAGGGATTTACCCAGGGCCTGAGGAGTGACTGAACACTGCTAAGAGAGCAGAAGCCAATTCCAATAGCCAGTCTTTTGGCTATAACAGATACACAGAACTCACAACTAATTCCTGTGTGACCCAGAGTAGTTAATTTAGAGAACCCAAAAACAAGGACTTCTTTTTTTAAGAAAAAAACCCCACAAACAAAACAAAAAAAATGCAACATTCACAAAGCCACCAAACTATACAGGGCTGCTGGAAGAATAACTAAAATATCTGAATTTTACAACATGGTACTTAGAATTACATGCCCCCCAAGACCTGCACACAGCTTCCTCTTGGTCCTCACCTCAGGGAAGTCACAGTGATCAAATGATGCCAACAAGAAGCACTTTGCTGCCTGCTTGTACTTCCGAGCAGCCAGCTCAGCCAAGCCTAGGAGCCAGAGAAAGTCCTTTGTTTAAAACAGCACACAAACAGGGAGTAACTGCAACATCTGGGGAGCATCAGAGGCCTCCACATGGTTGCTAGTGCCTTCACTACTGAAGTGAAATGAGACCCTCAGACTGGATCTGTCATCCTTTGAACTACATCGACTCACACTGGCATTCTCTCTGGCAAGACTTAGGGAGAAGGAAGAAACAGCAAAAAACAATTCAGTAGTTCCATCTCACCAGCTTTATTAAATATTGCGTTTCTGCTGAGAAAATGCAAAGAGTGTCAAATCTGAGAGAAAACAAAAACAAAAAACCAGGCACACATTGTTGCCAGAGAGTCCTACAGACAGCTAAGAGGTGGAGAGATGTGCAGCCAGCACAGGAAGCTAAAAGAATCACTCACCTGCTGCACATTTCAGTTTGGTGAGAATAGCTTGTGTCTGGCTGTCTCTTTCCCCTCTTTGCTACAGGATAAGAAAAAACAGTAGTGAGAAAGCAGTAAGAAAAGCATTTTATTTCCACTGTTTGTTGGGTTATTTCATCCCAGTAATTAGCCTGCAAATCTCAGCAGTAAGGTAACTTCATCTTATTTGTCTTGGAAAACATGGCAAGAACTAAGGAGGGAAAGTGTCTCTGTTTTTACCATGAGTCTTCGCAATCACATATCATAGGAGAAAAGCAACAATGAATCTCAAAAGAAATACTACAGCAGCCAGAGAGGCTGGATTAGGAGGAAAAGTAGACTGTAAGATGAAGGGAGTCTTATAGAGAGCAAGTCATAAAGGGGTAAAAGAACCATTTTACAGATGTTGGAGACAGAAAACAACAGGAATACTCATGTAAGTTAAAAAGCAGGACCTTACTTCTGCAATTTCTGGTGTAGACTCAGCCTTGCTCACATAGCTCAGAACATGAGACCAATTCTGGAGGTAGACACTGACCTGCAGAGAGCCAGAAACAGTGTAGACCAGGCAGGGGTAAGTGGTGTTACTTGGATGAGCAGTATCACTGCAGACACAAGAGCTGTATCCAGGTGGACTTTTCAGCAGGTGTCAGAAAGACACCAAGTGCCAGTTCCTGCACATCTCCCTACCTTGATGACATTGAGGCACATGTTGATAACATGTTTAGCACTGGTGCAGTAATCACGGGCTCGCGAGTAACACTTGAGAGCGTTGCTGAGGTCTCCACAGTCGAGGTAATGGTCACCCAAGTCATCGTGGCCTCTCCTGGAGCACAGGAATTAAAACACTGATGAACTGTGTGCTCAGAGAGGGACACAGTCAGTTTGTTCCAAACAAGTAACTCAACACACTGACCTAAGGCACTGAATGCAGCTGACATCCTGTGTTAGGTGCCTGGAGGAGCAAAATGCCCTTCCGTGCTCCAGCAGAGCCTTCTGCATCTCACCTGATACTCTCCTTGATGGAGTTCCCTTTGTAATTTTTCAGATCTGTGTCGAGTTTCTCCAGTTTAAGAAGAGCTTTTTTGCGTGTAGCTTCAACCCAAGCTGTGTCAAGAGGAGGGGGTTCAATTCCACTATCAGGGACAGCATCAGGTGTATTCTGCAGTTCTCTGAAAGGAAAGAGTTTGCATGGGGCTATGATGCTGCCAACTGCTCAGAACAGAGGTCTGCCAAGTACCTGGCACTGCTCCCCTAACAAGCAGGGCTGCATGCACAAAACAGGCCAGAGAACACAACAATGGTGGGGAAAAAAAGAAAAGACTGCTAAGATTTCCAGGGAAAACAGTAGCATAAGTATCACAAATGTTTACAAATTTTTCTCAAAATTATCCTAATGATCCTCTGCAGGTATTTTATTAGGAAGTACATATTTGCTTATTTACAGGAAAATACCTATACATATATTGAAAGCAAGTTAGTAACAGTGCTGCAATTAATTATTACATGCTATGGAAGTATTTAGTGACTCAAAAGAGTCACTGACTTGAATCAAACTTCTCTGTATGGGTCACGGGGTGCACAGTTTAGGGGTTTTCTCCCAGCCATACCGTAATAGCTTGATAGCAAAGCTACACTGTACAACTTCCAGTATTTTAAACAGAAAAGCATATTTTGAGGTTTTGGTTTGGGTTTTTTCTGTTGTTTTTTGTTTGTTTGTTTTGTTTAACCAACAGTCATTTTTACATATAAGAAAGCAATGAACAGACCATCATACATGGTAAAGATTCCCTGGGCAAAACAGACAAGAAATGAACAAATATGCACAGCAACAACAATGGAAGGACAGGAAGCGCAGATGGATAAGGGAAGTACCAAGGACTACCCTTATCAGTAAACCGGGGCGGGGGGG